CTTCTCCTCCCAGCCAGCCCTATATACTCCCTCCGCTTTCCCCCCCGAAGCACACACCGACGCGCCCCGCATGTCGTAGCAAACGCAGTAATTTTCGAAGTCTCGTGGGTGTCGGCGTTACCCCCCCCCCCTTCCCTCGACCCCTACTTTTGAGCCGGCTGGTGGCGCCGGCGCTGGCGCACTGTAAAAAGCTTACGAACTAAATACTTTGCAAGGTTACGAACAGTTTTCGTTCTTTGTATTGCAAAGAAATAGTTCGTATTGCAGAGCGATTGTTTGTAAAGCTAGACGGGTCTTACGAACAATCGGTTTGCATTACGAACTATTTGTTCGTAAGCTTACAAACAATTAGTTCGTAATACAACGCTTGAAAATCCTTCGTAAGCTACGAACGTTTTGGTTTGCATTACGAACCTATAGTTCGTAAGCAATTTACAGTGCGCCACACGGCTCGCTCGCTCACCTTAAGTTTTGATGTCCGTGCTGATTTAATTTAGAGCCCCCCGAGCCTAATCCTGGCGGTGTTGTTTCTTTTGTTGCAGCAGCAGGCGGCGCCATGAGCCGCGAGGGGAGCGGCGCCAGCGGCGGCGGGGAGGCGGACCACCGCGGGGCGCCACGGCGCCACTGAAGGTGAGCAGACAACGTCGTCGCGCAAGCATTTTTTTTTTTTTCGTGTGACCTTATTACGTCGACAGTTTTATTTCACGCAGGTAGTCACGCACAAGGATTTGTGTGACATACTTGCCAAGTTTTGTACATGACAATAACTGTCGCACCTTTTGGTTGCGCGCGTCACGCTATTTGTCATTCATTGCAGTATGCCAATTTATTTATTTTAAATAGTGTAACTGTGTGAAGAATCTTCCACATTGTTTTTTTACATTTTGAACACTGTGAAAAATATGTTCGTACATGTACAAACTCTCACTCTTGCTCGTCATCCGATTCCTAGTCTATACGCAGTGCTTTGAAATTTACAACTCTGAATTGTAATTGTACATCCTCCTTGAAAAAAAAAAAATCTGTACCCGGTAATACTAATTTTCACAGTGAAAGTTTTGTTTTCCGATAACGTTGGGACAAAGTTTTAGGCGTTTACCTCACCTGCCACGAGAGCCTGGCTGGTGGCGCTTACAAAATGCCTGTCGTGTTTGTTCGCAGGCCGTGCCGGCGGCATGGCGGCGGGCGCGGGGGCGGCGGGCCCGGGGGTGGCCCTGGGGGCGGCGCTCGTGGCCGCGGCCCTCCTGATGGGGCTCGGCCCGCCGCCCCCGGCCGCCGCGCTCCCGGCGTGCCGCATATCCGAGTTCCCCTGCAGGACCAACAAGTGCATCCGCCTGGACCACTACTGCGACGGCAAGGACGACTGCGGCGACACCAGTGACGAGCCGCCCCACTGCACCGGTAAGGAAGCGGGACGGGACGACAGCCCTTTACCCGCCAACCGTCCAAATGAAGCAACACTGCACTCAGAAAATCAGTTTCTTAAACTGAGGCTAGTTAGAATCCCAAACATTAAGGAAAGGAAATGCCTTGATTTTTACCTTGAAAACATACAACGAAATTTTCCCTCATTCTAGGAGACATTTACCTTCACGCAAGAAAGATTCTTTAGAATTTTATCTCTGATTTCATGAAAAATCCTTTTAAACTAAAAAGAAGGGTCCTTATGTTTTTTCAAGGACTTTGGGGGGTGGTACACGGGCGGGGCGGACCCTCCCGGGACCGTTTGTGCGTTTATTCCCCACTGTGTGGAGCCGCTCCGTGTTGACGTGTTGGCGCCTTCCTTCAGGTGCGCGCGTTTTGTCCCTCATGGCTTGCGTTTTGTTGTCGGGGAATGAAGCGGGAGCGAGCAGCAGCAGGGGGTCGCGCGCGCGCTGCGGAGGTTTGTGTTGTTGGGGCTTGAACCTCCCACCCGCGCGCGCGCTGGCTTTGTTTGAGCCCTTGCTGCGTCTAGGGAGGCGGGGCGGGGCGGGGTGTGCAGGCTGGCTTGGCAGGTGTAACTCTCTCATGACAGCCTGGCCAAACCCTCCGCTGCTGGCTGCGGCTGGAAATACACACACAAGCGCGCTCTTGCTAACGCCCCCCCCCCCCCCCCACACACACACACAAACATATTCCGCAGTCGCCGTGATGGTGGTGGGTGGGTGATGATGAGATGGCGGTAACGTTGCGACGTTTGGGACTCCACAGCAACTCCTTCCCGAACCCCGCTCGTTTGTGTGGTGCTTGTGTGTGTGTGTGTGTGTATGTGTGTGTGTGTGTGTGTGTCGGATGGGTTTGTTTACACGCCTCAGCCTTTTGTGAGGGTCTGAAGTCGACAGCTAGAAGATACAAAGAATCGGTACTCTCTCTCGCTGGGGATCGAGCTATGGGTCTGGCATTGCTGGGGGAGGCCCCTTGCGCGGCCCTTGGCGCTACAGCTTCGCCCTTTCGTTTCGAACCAGTAACGGGCAGGCGTTGCCCAAATTATGCAGGAACAGGACTGCTAGGGGTTCGCTGTCATCACGGACTTCCGCGTATTCTGCAGCTAGCAAGTTGCAAAAGAGGAGGGAGGGGAGGCTGGCGAGTGTAGTGGTGGAATTCGGGAGATCCTCTCATTAAGAGTAAGTTTATGAGTTTACCTGCTGGGTGGGGTGGAGCTAGAGCACAAAGGGGTCTAACCAGATGGGGAGGGGGGAGAAGAGTGCTCTGCCTTCTAAAAAGTCGCGCGAAGGATAGACGGAACGACGGACGGCACGGATATCAGGGCGAGGGTCAGGGTTGCCGCACTGTGGTCGGTGTTGGGCCATAGGATCCAGCCTCGGACCAGGCCGCCAACTTGCACAATGGCACGTGGTGCGAGGCTGTTACAGTAAGGGGAGCTCGAGCCCGTGGTGTGTAAACTCAAGTGCGAAAGTTTTCCTTGTTGTTTGTTTGTTGTTGTTTTCTGTTTTTGTTGAAGGGGTAGAGCTGGGCAAGGATCCGCGTTCTTGTCCGTCTTTTGTTCTGACAGAAGGGCATACACATCAGCCTTTGCCACATTTATTTCCGCGTCGGTTCTAAGCGCGCGCAGCAGTACTACTCACGGCGACCACCGCGGCCGGCACTGGACCGCGGCATGAGAGACGCCCTTTGGTAGCTGCAACGCGCCGAGGAGGACGGCGGCGGGAGGAGCGTGGGGATCTGCTGATAAATGGGACGTGATGGGTGTTGGGGCCATGAAAAATGACAAGAGGGAGGGAGAGGCGTGCTCGTGTCACGTGGCCGGTCCGGTGCCACGTGAAGGAGCGAGGGAATAATGCGGTGTCAGTTTGTTTTCATTTTAGGTGTGTGTGTGTGTTTTATTTTTCCTCTTCGTTTTATTTTCCCCCCTTTCATTCTCTATATTCTGCTGAACACAACAGGGTGGTGGGGACCCCGCCGAGCTGCCGCTGCCGTAGAGTGAGATGCTGTGTACGGCTCATTGTGTTGTATTATTTCGTCGCGTTTTCATTTCATTAGCCCCCGTGGACGTTTGCCCCCCCTACCCCCCCAGGGAAAGCGCGGGAGCCTGCTAAACGGGGATTTTTCCGGCACCACAGTCAAAACTAACGTTCATGTGTGCGAGCCACACATGGGTTATTTATTACGATGCCATATCAAAAGGAAGAACGAGCACTGTAAAAAGCTTACGAACTAAATACTTTGCAACGTTACGAACAATTTTCGTTCGTATTGCAAAGCGATTGTTTGTAAGGCTAGACAGGGTCTTACGAACAATCGGTTTCCATTACGAACTATTTGTTCGTAAGCTTACGAACAATTAGTTCGTAATATAACGCTTCAAAATCGTTCGTAAGCTACGAACGTTTTGGTTTGCATTACGAACCTATGTTGTTCGTAAGCAATTTACCTTGAGGTTTCACCGACTTAAAAATAGAACCATATTTGTTAAGGATACGGCAGAACTTATGATTTGTATGGTAGGCACAACACAAAATTAGTTTAGAGCTGTTAAATGAATGCCAATCGTGGCCTGTACCTCGCGGTAAATCCTGTTTCCTGCTTTACTTGTAATGTCGACTGACTAATCGGTAAGAGCTCTCTCTCTCTCTCTCACCTCCTCCCTCTCTCCCTCTCTCTATCTCCTTCTCTTTATTGTGGCGGGGCTTCTTAGCTCTTTTCGATACATCCTTGACCACATTC